AAACTCACTCACTCACTTGTAGCGCTGGATTATTGTGGGCCGCTATTGTTGGACTACAGGAGTAGGTATCGTCTGAGGGATAGAATCGCTTTGTGGGTCGTGCCCTAGTCGAGAGTCCCCAAGTGATCACATAGACAAGCCGAGCACCTGCCACCCGTGGCATGCCTGTTTGGTGGAACTGTCCTATTCTTGCGGTGAATGTTAACCACTGAGTGGATTTACGCCGTTTCGGCAATACTTAAGCAATCTCACTTCGGCCGACACCAGAAATAGGTTTCGCACGTGGCGTATGTGGAATCGAACCCAGGTCTTCATATGTGGCGAGCGAACGCGTAAACCACTAGACCACCCAACCACCGTCAAATGAAGATCGTGTCGACACAATGTCTGACCCGATTGTGTGCCTTCATATCCTTGCGTGGGGCAATAATCACCCAATCAGCCATGAGATTATTATTTACAATTATTTACAATCAGCAAAAGCTATGTTCATGTAAGTATTTGTTCACGTTGTCAAATTCCAGTGACGTCGAGATGGCTCCAAGTTAGTCGTTCTGCTTTGTGCACTGGGGATAACAACGGACGTCTGAGAGGTCGTCTGGCTCTACGTGCCGATTTTAAGCGATTTCTGACTGTTCTGTTTAAGGATCTAACTCGAGTTTTCGGCGTGACGAGCGATCGGTTTAACCACTAAGCTACCCCACCGCCCTGTCCCACATGAACAATGGGAACTAATTCCTTAATCTAGGAAAAAACAGTTCACATAATTATCACAAATTTGGTACCATAAATACATGACTGAAACTACCCGTGAAGATCCGGGTTAGAATTGGTCTTCAGCAACCCATGCTTGTCGTAAGAAGCGACTAATGGGATGGGGGGTTCTGGTTCGCTGACTTGGTTGACACATGTCATCGTATCCCAACTGGGTAGATCGACTCCCATGTTGTCAGGCACTAGGTTGTGTGGTCCCAGAATAATGGATAGCTGCAATAGTGTTGTTATAGAGTAGTCAACAAAGCTAACAACTAACCAACCAACCAATCAACAAACAGATTGGTTCAGAGTCCTGTAATATACACAAAGAACTTAGTTAAAGGTCACATGCAACCAAAAAATCAAACATAATTAAAACACAATTATCACTTATTCATGACATATAATATACATTGATGATTATGAAAAACATATAAACAAAATTATAAGCGTACAATCGCAAATCAAAAGTGCAATATTTTGTACTTGGGTTTACTTCCCAAGAAACGAAGCAGCCGGGATACCGAACACAGTCAGAGCGGGTGGGTGTGCACTCAAGTGTAACGGCTGGTTCATTTGCAGATGCCCTCGCGGCTCATTGTGTGTGTATATATATAGAGATGTTGGGTTTTGTAAATACATGCTCATTTTTTTGTGTATAACATTTTGCAATCAACAGACATCATGACATGCCATGTGTACAAGTATCACACCTTCCTGTCTGTGTAATTACATAATGTGAGAGAGACCAAACTCGGGCCATAAATCAATGCGTTTTGTTTATGGTGTATAGCCTGATAGGTGTTAAGTTCAAATTGCATGTGGTCAGTGATCGAAGTTGTGTATTGAATATTGTCATTAGCAACAGGCAGGCAGACACATAGGTGTCAATAAAACAGACATTGAGTTTTGTCCGTGACAACGACATATCTATATCACAGTTAGAAATTCTGTCAACGCTAAATAATGACATTGCTTTTAAGTATCGAACTGAGAAAGTGACTCGGTAAGAAGAACGTGTGGTGAAATAGACAAATGAAATTATATAAACAGTTAAATCGGTAATCTACTGTCATAACATATCAAAAGCTCGCGCCTGTGAAATATCAACAAAACATTAGAAAAATAGCTCACACCAAAGCCTTCACCGAGTATTCACCGGACAACCCGCTTCCAAGCTGCGCGAACCTATTTCACTGCGCATGTGCTATGAGCGCAGCCCAGCTGTTGAAACCACTTTTCCCCCAAGCGCTGGGGGAATATTAGTGAATCGTTTGAACTCCAATTTCGCGCGATTTTTTTCATCGTGTTATTTTTCAACTTTATAAGCTGAATTAGCATTTTTGATGATTTGTTTCGGTAAGTCCATACCGAAAGGTATCCGAATCTGCAAAGTTGTGTTTTACGCTGCATGTGACCTTTAAGCACACCTTGACATATCTCACGATTGAATGAGCCCCTCCCTTAACCCTTTGGAGCATATCTAGGCCATGATTGGTCGTCGTGTGCAACAAAGGGATCCTCTTGTACAGAACCTGACCCAAATGGAAGCTGCTTTACACGAGGAATTGCGTAGACTGCCCCTTCAGAGGATCAAGCGGCTGACAGGGGGTATGAGGAGGAGAGTGCTGGCTGTCATAGAGTCACATGGTGGTTACACTCGGTATAGATCGTGTAAATTTTGAATGTTCACATAAATAAATTCAATAATTTCAACATTAAACATTCCAGGGCCATACTTGTACAGATATGGGTTTGTATGAAAATAATTTTTTTAAATGAGCAATAATTATCATCATAAAATCAACATGGATTCCAATCATTTTGTCGTTTTTTATGAGTCAAATGATCATACGTGTCAGAAAACTTGCAATGTGTTGAAAACCTATCATTGCAAAAATACAGCGGTGCTTAATTAAGGTCTTTGTGTATATTTTGTCAGATCATTTAATTGTCCATCGAATATTTTAAAACCCAATCGATCTCCAGAACACTTGTTGGATCATATTAATATAAGGTACAGTTATAGAAGAGCATTTACCTTTTATAACTATAAAGCTACGACCCTCCTGTTTCCATTAATGCAATGTATCATTTTCCGTCTCCCATAATGCCATGGATCACCCTTAAGTTTCCCATAATGCAATTTCTTACTCTTCCGTTTCCCACAATGCAATGTATCACTTCCTTTTTCCTTTATGTAGTATTGCACGCTCTGCGAATGAAACCGTTAGTTAAACCAGAGCCTGCCTTATCTACAGAAAAGAACTCGTCACATCTCGTGCATGTTTTTCATTGACTCTTTAACCCATACTTAGAGCAGTGTTGCAAATGTTTTTGTCTTGGCCCCGGAAAACGTGAGAGCCTTTTAAATCACTAGAAGGGATCATTTACCATGAAACAGGGTTATGATTCCACCGTAGGATTTTACGTTTTCTTTGCTGCAACGGAGTGGTTGTAACACGACGATGCTGCGACGATGTTAGTGCTTCCGGCGATAGGGTCATTCATCATCGAAATGCAATGTGTAATTTTATGGCAAATTATTCCCTTCCTGTCGAGTTATTCCCTTAATATACTCACGAACCACAGGTCAATAAACCAATAAATATATTTTATGTAATACAACCAATCTCGTAAATCGACTTCATTTCTTCGACCAGATGTCGAGAACGATTTGTAGTTGCAGTCTCTGTCTGATTTATCGGTGACTCGCATGCATTCGATTTCTTCAACGGAAGTCCGCAACAGTTTAGAAGAAATAAAACCTTCCAAAACCTTCGTTCCTATCGACGGCCAGCGACACTCCTCATTCACCGAGATTTCGAAAGGTGAATATCAATTTCGAGCAGTTTCCGCTAAGAAAAAGAACCAGTAGCTCCATACCCTGCGGCTGTGTAGATCGACCCAGGGTTGGACATTGTGCGTGCTTGCATAAAAATGGCATCACTTGCCATGTCACAAATAGATAGCAAGCTATTACTTCAGGGTTCTGCGTGGGGCATGATGACATATCGGATAACGAAATCCATTACAATTGATTTTTTAAATAAGAAACTGAAAAACGCCACAGCGTCAAACTAAAAGAAAGCCTAGAAATAATTGTGTATGATCTCACGCTTGTAAAAAACGTCATGGAATACGAATCATGGAATTGGTCCGAAATGTAGGATAAGAAAAACACCTCCTGTATTATACCTATTCTGTTTTGTGTTGCAATCGATCTCAAGCCCCGAATGAGATTTTATAAGAACGACTAAAGGAGGGTTATATAATTACTCTACGTATTCTTACACAGGTGGAAGTTAGCACAGCAGATTATTTCATTTATTTCAAAGACGCTGATAACAGTAAAATCATTTTTTATCGACGATATCGATTTTTTAAATCGATTTTTATCATTAGAGTTTGTTTCATCATGGTTAGTGAGGATATATGCTGCACTCAACCACAGCTTTAAAGCATTGGCAGTTTCGTTGTGTTAGCGTTGCTATTACAACTCTCAATATAGTTATTCTTGCATTTATAAACTAGTGAGGGAGGGAGTCTAGTTTTACGCCGCACTCAACAATATTCCAGCTATATGGCGGCGGTCTGTAAATAATCGAGTCTGGACCAGACAATCCAGTGATCAACATCATGAGCATCGATCTACGCAATTGGGATACGATGACACATGTCAGCCAAGTCAGCGAGCCTGACCTCCCGATCCCGTTAGTTGCCTCTTACGATAAGCATGGGTTGCTGAATTCTAACCCGGGTCTTCACGGGTCCTTTTACTATGAACGAATGTTTTGTGAAGCATACATTTTCTGTATCGTTAGTTATACAGGTAGAAATATAACACCGGTTAACAGCTTTCACTTAATTGTTGACAGATGACGGAGATTTCAGGGTGGTACAGGTTTCTTCCATCGTCGTTTTGTGTTATTATGTGAACCTCACATAAACATGTATAAACCAATATGTATTTTATACTTACAGACTATTCTAAAGGTACTTTGTAACTGTTCGACTTGGAGAAAAACAACCTTTAGCATATGACTTGCTGCAACATTAAAGATCGTAAAGACCTTAGTTATTTAGTAGTCGCATTTTAATCGCATACAACTCGCAAGAATCTCACGCCTGACTCGTCAACGTGGATTTGGTCTGAATACATCGTTTTCAGAGACTTTTCTCAGGAGGGAATTTGCAATTATGCGTTGGTTTCAAGGGGGTGCTTAGTCCCTCGGAACCCCTACCACGTTCCACCTCGGACCCGGCAGGGGCCTGCGGCCCTTGCATCCCGGCATCTTCTGCTTTTTTACTCTGTTGGGGCTGGAAGCTGTAGGAGGGTGTGAACACAACATGTAATCACTTGAACAGGAAATAAATATCCCATCACTTTGCAGTTCAAAATTGCCATATCTTACTTCATCTAAAACTAGTATATGGTGGTCGAAAAAATGTGATATTTTCAGCACATCAATTTTATGCTCTGTCTGCGATAATCACAGGACATTCTTTGGCTATTATAAGAAAGACGATGATCGTTTTTATTCGCTTCAGGACATAAATACACGAGTCGGCGTTTAAATAGCATTACGAGAGTATAACGAGACATTGCGAAGGCGGTTGCGAGTTCCTTACTGAATGAGTAACTCCCCTCCATTACATTGAGTATATGCGAGAAATTACATTTAACAATGAACACGTAGCAGGGACCTGTCAATCAAATTTTAGTTCAGTCAACTCATGGCTGGACATCTCGTTTTAACGTTTTGCACGTGCGGCATGGACAACGTGAGAACCGCACGTGGCAGTCTCTAGGGCCTGTATGTCTCTCGAGGCGCTACTTCCGGTACTTAGCTGGTTCCCGGCTCCCTTTGCGCTCGCCAACTTGCGATGTGCGAGACGGGGCCCAGCTGACTTCCGGTACCAGATTTCCGGTGACAAGCGTATATTCAAAACCAGTTCTGGTTCCAATTTGCGAAACGGCCAAGTGCACAACCATACTTGGCTGTCACAGCTGTTGACAGTCGTAGAAGCTAGTTGGCTAATTTGGGGATGGTGAGATCGGAAATTTGTTAATCCTGCAAGGATTATCGGTTCCTTACTGTCTACTGACAACCACGAGACCATTCGAAAAGGTACGAAACGCTGTTTGTCACCGGAAGTACTATGGTCTCGCCCTATTTGAGCTCAAACAGTCGGAAGATAACAAGATGGCTTAGTGATATAGACTAACGTTTGTTTGTTGTTTAAAGCCGTACTCAGCAATATTCCAGTTATATGACACCGTCAGTAAATAATCGAGTCAATCCAGTGATCAACAGCATGAGCATCGATCTACGCACCTGGTATACGATGACATGTGTGAACGAAGTCAGCTAGCCTGACCACCCGATCTGACAAATATGGGTTGCTGGAGATCAGGTCTAACCCGGACCTTCATGGGTTTAATAATTTCAGAAACACATATTTTTTTAACAGCTGTCCAACTTATTTTCGTGTTCATTTAGATTCCTGCAACATTTGATCTGAAGGCAAGCTAAAGTAGCTCGAGCAAAGGGTTTCTGTTTTAATTTCAACCTACAGCCTCGATGTTTTCATCGCAGATATAGTGTTATTGCGCACTATTACGTAAAGTTAAAATAAGAACGGTCACGTGAAAGAGCGAAACCTGATCTTCGGACACTTGAGACAGATGTTTTTGTCCATTGACCATTATGTCCAGTAATACACTGTCATGTACTGTTTGAACTGTACTGTATTTTATTTGTCTCTCTGTTAACTCCACAACGGCTCGTTCAAATTAAAAATAAATTTATGTTTCAGTACCCTACTATGCAGCCCGGAACTTACCTTCTGTTGACGGGAGAGTATGTAGCAGGGTGTGGAGTCATCCCACAGATGACATCCTTGCCTTGTCAGCTTGCTGACGGGTTAAGCTTTTTGGTCATCTGGACGAGGAGTCGACATTGGATCAGAAGGTCCGTGGTTCGAATTCAATCACAGCACCAGACCATTCTACGATCACCAAACATGCAGAATATGCCTCAGATAGGCCTGCTTTGTATACATCAGTTTGTCTAAGACAACCGCTCTGGGTTTAGCTAAACCACGTCCAGTGATAGCTGGGTAGCCCAGTGGTAAAAGTGTTCGCTCGTCACGGGGGCATTGGCACAATGTGTGAAGCCCATTTCTGGTATCCCGTGTTATTGCTGGAATATTGCTAGAAACTGCGTAAAACCCAACTCACGCACTCACTAAGACTTTGGATACGGGTCCAATAGTTGCCATGAACGCCATTGTGTGTAGCACGTGATTTTCGCTCTTCTTGCCAGCATACGGTGAGACGGGTTAGATAGTATATAAATTGATATATGCCGATGAATGAACGAAACTGTTCGCACGAGAACATTGATATGATATAAGGATATCTTACTGTAACCAACCAACCTTAAGAAAAACAGAAAACGACATTGTCCTTACCTTATAAAGGGAACAGTTCATTCACAACTAGGGATAGAAAGGGGTAAAGTCGTCCACGACTAAGGACAGGAGAAAAGTTCATTCAAGACTAAGGACGGAAGGTAAAAAGTTCATTCACACCTAAAGACGGAGGAAAAGTTCAATCACATCTAAGGACAGAATGGGAAGAGCTCATTAACAACTAAGGTGAGTGAGTTAGTTTAGTGTTACGTCGCACTCAGCAATATTCCAGCTATATGGCGGCGGTCTGTAAATAATCGAGTCTGGACCAGACAATCCAGTGATCAACAACATGAACATCGATCTGCGCAATTGGGAACCGATGACATGTGTCAACCAAGCCAGCGAGCCTGACCAAGCGATCTTACGACAAGCATGGGTTACAGAAGGCACATTCTAACCCGGACCTTTACGGGTGGGAGAGAGAGAGGGAGGGACATACAGAGGTACACAGAGCGATTCAGAGAGACACACACAGAGAAATAGAGAGAGACATAGAGAGGGAAGAGTTTATTCACAACTAAGGCTAGGAAAAGAATTTATTCACGACAAGGGGCGAACTGCTGATCACCGAATATTTTCATCGTGAACGTAGTAGAGTTAACCCTTCTCCTGACGGGGAGCTCTTATTGTTCTTACATGTGTATTGCAGTTAACCCTATGTGTACAATTCTATAACAGCACAATACACCTGGTCAGTATATATACAAATTACGTCACCAAGCAGGAACGACCGGCCGTTATGACCATTATAACGACGACTGCGTGATAACGTATACAAAACCATAGTTGCAACCATTTGGCGCTATATGATAAATGGGACGGTTCACTCAAACATTGTATTCTTTCGCATGTTTATATTTCCGTCTAAACATCGATCACTTAAGAATGACAGCATGTTATAAAACTATATACCCAGTGTGATTCCGTATCTCAAGTGTTATTGCTGTACGAATTCGGCTAATATTCTCTTGATAATAATGATGATCATAATAATTTTCTGTCCCTCTTGACAGCAACATGATTGGCAAGATTCAGGAAAAGCTTGCTAAATATGCGGACCTCGCCTTTGAAATATCTCGCTGGCATCCCAAATACACTGTCGTCAGGCTCACCATTGTTCTCGGTGTCATTGGTTTTGTACTTCCTGATCTCTTGGCGCAGATCAAGAGAGTGCCCGGGTTCTCCACCGGAAGTACAGCCCTTCTGACACTCTGGGTAATGCAGAAGGCTGCAGTGTTGGTGAGTCTACATATGCTCCGGAAAGTTCTTGGTGGGTTCTACTAGGCAGCGTTTCCTGGGAGAAGTCCCATCCGCTGTCTGGGCTGCGTGTAGTGGGGGTAAGGACCCTCAGCTGATGATGAGCCTTACCAGCCTGATTGTGCCAGGATCACCCGAACCCTCTCTGCTGCATAATATATTTAATCTGTAAAACATAATAAATTGTTGTGAGAAACACAAATGCATAAAACCTAATCTTGCAATGTGCATATGACTGTCACGGAACATGGATTGTCGATTGTTGTTTTGACAGGCTGTCAGGAGTTACCGCCCTTTTGTAAGCTTTGGGTGAGTTTTAATTTATGGATTTTATATTCGAGAATCCATACACGGGTGTTGTGTGTCTTTTCCAAGGTCACGAACCGGGCAGCAGTGGACATTGTTCAGCCGGTCGGTAGCTCAAGAACATTCTGAACAGCGGATGGACATTCACATTCACGAGTTCAAGTCTCAGGTCTCAGAAACCTGCAGCCATATTGTATGTTTGTTTGGGGTTTGTTAACGTCGCACTCTGCAATATTCTACCTAACATGAGTGAGTGAATTAGTGAGTGAATTGGGTTTTACGCCGCTTGTTGCAATATTCCAGCAATATCACGGGGACACCAGAAATGGCATCACATATTGAACCCATTAAGTTATCTTTGTTAACATTTTTGCTTGCAAAGTAACATTTAGCCATTTTCTGTTTTTTCATAGCAATATCAATTGCCAAAACGTAGCAATATTCAAGCAGTATTTGCATCCATTTCACGTGTAGAATGATTCTATAGGGTATAAAGAGAGCCTAGAAGACATGATCTGATACACAAGTACGAGAAATATGCCACGATTAACAGCTGAAGAGAGAGAAAGAGCCATTGGGATGGTGCAGATTGGGTCGACATACAATGCTGACGCCAACGCCCTCGGATGCCACCGTATCACTGTTATAAGACTTATTCAGCGCTACAGACAGACTGGGGTCAGCGTAGACAGACCTACAATTGGACGTCCACGCATCACAACGCCAGCTGAAGATAAGTACCTCTGTCATTAAGGACGGAGGGTAACGTTTCTTTTGGCGTTTAGTGTATAGGAGTGAGTGAGTGAGTGAGTAAGTATGGATTTACGCAATTTTCCAGCAATATCACGTATACCGAACTGACGGTTATAACGAACTGGCATTGGGTCCTAGACACTGGCTGTATATCTTTGCAGAATTGCGTATACCGAACTGACGGTTATAACGAAGTGGTATTGGGTGCTAGACACTGGCTGTATATCTTTGCAGAATTGCGTATACCGAACTGACGGTTATAACGAACTGGCATTGGGTCCTAGACACTGGCTGTATATCTTTGCAGAATTGCGTATACCGAACTGACGGTTATAACGAAGTGGCATTGGGTGCTAGACACTGACTGTATATATTTGCAGAATTGCGTATACCGAACTGACGGTTATAACGAAGTGGTATTGGGTCCTAGACACTGACTGTATATCTTTGCAGAATTGCGTATACCGAACTGACGGTTATAACGAAGTGGCATTGGGTGCTAGATACCTGTATATCTTTGCAGAATTGGTGTATACCGAACTGACAGTTATAACGAAGTGGTATTGGGTGCTAGACACTGACTGTATATCTTTGCAGAATTTCGTATACCGAACTGACGGTTATAACGAAGTGGCATTGGGTCCTATAGACAGTGGCTGTATATCTTTGCAGAATTGCGTATACCGAACTGACGGTTATAACGAAGTGGCATTGGGTCCTAGACACTGGCTGTATATCTTTGCAGAATTGCGTATACCGAACTGACGGTTATAACGAAGTGGTATTGGGTGCTAGACACAGGCTGTATATCTTTGCAGAATTTCGTATACCGAACTGACGGTTATAACGAAGTGGTATTGGGTCCTAGACACTGGCTGTATATCTTTGCAGAATTGCGTATACCGAACTGACGGTTATAACGAAGTGGTATTGGGTCCTAGACACTGACTGTATATCTTTGCAGAATTGCGTATACCGAACTGACGGTTATAACGAAGTGGTATTGGGTCCTAGACACTGGCTGTATATCTTTGCAGAATTGTGTATACCGAACTGACGGTTATATGGAACTAAAATTATTGGTTCCTTTGAGGTCGTTTTAACAGTAGTTCTGTTTATTAATCTCAGACTCTTCACTGTGATTCAAAGGGCGGAGGGGTAGCCTTGTGGTTAAAGCGTTCGCCCGTCATGCCGAAGTCCCGGGTTCGATTCCATACATAGGTACAATGTGTGAAGCCAATTTCTGGTGATCCCCACCGTGACATTACTGGAATATTGCTAAAAGCGGTGTAAAACTAAAACTCACTCATTCAACGGGAGGAGCGTTAGCTTTGTGGTTAGGAAAGTAGCTTACCGTATCAACACGGACTCTAATGGGTGTACAATTGTTACAAGATAAGTAGACTAACAACTTGTCTCTGAAATGAACATATTTAACTGAAAAAAGTTCATAGTAAAAAAATATATATATATAATGAAAAGGAGCCCTGACAAGATTAGTAACGATGTAGGTATCGGTGTATTATATCTCCATCGGATAATGATAAACTCCTTGGACCCATAGCAATAATGAATCGTCATATGTATTCATGCAGGGAGCTTCCGAATAAATCCCTTTCGTGTCCTCCTCCACTGAGATGACATGCCGTAGTTAAACACGACCCGCAAATCCTTGGAGGGATGAAGGGCATAATTCTGAAATGAAGAAATCACAAATACATAAAGCTCTAGATTACATATTTTTGGAAGATAGAATGGAGACAAAGGCAGTTGAAGGATATTTTAACTGATAATTATTTGGGATATATTGTTTTCTTAAATCAGCATAATGTGGGCATACAAAAGCGAAATGAATTTCATCTTCTACAACCGAGTTACATAATGGACATATCCTTAAACTTCTCTCTAATCCTTTATCTATCTATGTACCGGGGGCGGTGGGGTAGCCTAGTGGTTAAAGCGTTCGTTCGTCACGCCGAAGACCCGGGTTCGATTCCCCACTAAATGTGTGAAGCCCATTTCTGGTGTCCCCCGTCGTGATCTTGCTGGAATATTGTTAAAAGCGGCGTTAAACCAAACTCACTCACTCATT